CTGCACGCACCCCGCGAGAGACAGTCCCTGCCCAAAGAGCTCACAGTCCAAAGGCGGGGAGGGGAAACTGAGGCACGGAGCGGCGCAGAGGCTTGCCCAGGGTCAGTGGCAGAGCTGGGAATGGAACCCAGGAGTCAGCACCCAACCCATGCGACCTTGCTGCCCGAGGCTGTGAGCGGGTCAGCTCCTGGAGGGGGAGTTCTGAACAGGTCCCCCAGTGGTAGCGGAGCCCCTCCAGCCAGTGGAGCGAGGGGTGCTCCTGCTCCCTGCACGCAGGCAGGACGTTCTCAGGACCGAGCGTTGTCCCTGGCCCATTCCCCTGCGTGGGGCTCTGCCGCCCCTCTGGAGACGGGAACACGGCTAGGGCTCCGGGGCCGGAACCTGTCACAATAAACAGAACCTGCCGGTGTGGAAACCAAACAGCCTTTGTCTTTAATGCATGTTTGCTGGGCATGGGTTAAAGTTCCCAAGTTCGCTGTATGACAGCAACTCTAGAGATCCGAGACCATCGCGCTGGGCGCTGCCCAGACCCCGCCTGAGATCAGGGCCCCGTCGGACCGGGCGCTGCCCAGACCCCGCCCGAGATCAGGGCCCCGTCGGACCGGGCGCTGCCCAGACCCCGCCCGAGATCAGGGCCCCATCGGACCGCGCGCTGCCCAGACCCCGACTGAGAGCCAGTCCCTGCTCTCAAGAGCTAACAGTGGCGGGTGGCAGACAGGAAGCGTTAAGTTATTTTCAGAGCCGGCCACAAGTACCTGCCGTTTCCTGGCGCCGTGGCCCCAAACCAGGAATCTGGGACATTCTGAAAAGCGTCACTGGGTAGAAGAGCAGTAGTGCCTCTGGAGAGGGCCTGAAATAGCTGCTCCTCCCCCATGGCCGCAGGCCGGCGGGCATCAGCAAAAAGGGGCCGGGGCCGCACCCGGCACTTTAACCCCAGCGGCTGTCTCCTCAGTGGGTCTCAGTATGCTACGCTCTGCCCCTCCCCGTGCACCGCTCCGTCTCCAGGCACTCTGCAAAGGAGGGCAGGATCATTGGCCCCATTTTGCAGAGGGGAAACTGAGGCACGGAGAGGGGAAGAGCGGCAGAGCCAGGCCCCCCCGAGTCCCAGATCAGTGCTTCACCCACTAGGCCCCGCTGTCCCTTGTAGCATGGGCAGGGAGTTTGCAGCAGGTGGGCGCTCCGGTGGCGCCTAGCGCTCGGCAGCGGGGGGGGGCCCGGCTGGCTGGGGCAGGGCGCTCGGTGCGGTCCGTGGGTGCAGCAGCACGGTCTTGCCGCAGAGCCCTGCCCTCACGCCTCCCGCGGGCACCACGTAGACCTTGCCGTCGCCCGCCCGCTTGGGGCAGAAGTCGGTCAGCTGGGCGTTGCTCTCGTGTGCCTGCCGGTAGCTCCACAGCTGGGGGCGCCAGCTCTTGCCCTGCTTGGAGAGCAGGTAGATCTCCAGCACGTCCTCCGGGGCAGGCGGGGGGCAGGCTGGGCTGGGGTGGAAGAGGCCGGCGATCTCCCCGTCCTCCTGGCAGGCCGGGCTGAGGGCGCCGCCCCTGAGGCCCAGCAGGAGTCCTGCAGGAGGAGAGGAGCTAGCCAGTCTCCCCAGGGCAGTTCCATCCTGTCCGAGCCCCGCCACGCCCCTGGGATCACCGGGCCAGTGCGGGGGGCAGCCCCTCCGGACGGGTCCCCGAGAGTCGGCCCGTGCCTGGCCAGCTGCCGCCCCCTTGTGGCGAGCCTTGGAAATGCAGCCAGGCCAACTCGCCCTCCTGGTTTCTTTCTCCCTGTGCCAAGGGGCGGGCACAGGAAGCCCGGCTCTGAGCGGGGTTGTCCCCATGCCCCAGGCCTGGGGGAGTTTGGGGGTGGACCGGGGCAGGTCGCGGTGGCTGCAGGGAGCTGCCTGGGAGCAGGGCAAACGGCCTGGGCAGGAGGGGTCGAAGCCCCGTTCTCCGCAGCCCCATCCCCCGCCCGGACGTACCTGAGACGACGGCCCAGTGGGCTCTGTAGCCGCGTCTCCTGCAGGGCTCGTGGTTGGAGTCCTCGTCGTAGCTGGGAGGGCCGTTAAGGTTTGCCAAGGGGGCTGTGGCGGGCCGGCTGGCGAGGCAGGGGCACGTGGGGAGAGCAGGCCCCAGCTCCAGGCACCCGGCTCCTGCCCCTGGAGAAGTGCGCTCCCCCCAAGCGCTGACTGGGCACACATGGGGCCGCTAAACCTCTCCAACCAGAGAGGGGCTGGAGCATCAAATCTGTTGTCTGTACCTGCGGGCTCTGGACGCCACCGCCACGGCTGCCTCAGAAGGGTGGGGCACAGGGGGGCAGGCGTGGGTGGGGCATTTAACCACTGGGAGGGAGAAGGCACCTGCCCCACATGCATTCCGCCCCCCGCCCCACTGCAGCCAGGAAGAGGAGACACGAGAGATGTGACCACATCCCACCCCAGAAGTGGCCGCATCTGCCTCTAAAAGGACCCCACCAGGCCCGCTCTACGGGGTATCAGAACCGCGCCAGCCCTGCCCACGCGTGCAGGCTGCGGTGCGGATCCCAGGGGGTCACCGCGCAGGGAAGGATACGGCAGTAGCAGGGGGCAGCCAGCGGTCAGATGGCGAAGGATCCTGCCTCGGTTCTCTCCCTCGAGACCTCCCGAGAGCAGCTCGGCCCGGCACTGGAACAGCTCCTCGGCCAGCTGGGCCATGTCAGCCGCTGGGATGGACA